TAAAATAATGACCGATGGACCAGCACTGATTTTGCAGCAAAGAGCTCGAAGGTAGTGGTCCATACAAGACTATAATGGGATAAAAGCTGAATGGCCCCACTAAAGCTGACTAAAGCTAGCTGAGTAGCTGCTGGACACTGTAAATGTATAAACACGTGGTCAATCGCCATAGCAACTATCTAAACCATTTCCACAGGGGTGGATCTAGGGGAGTGCCTGGGGCCTAGTCTGGAAAATCTTAAGAACTACGAGTTAGCAGGCCCTTTATATTGTGTAATGAAGGTATTTTCATTAATTTAAAAAGCATTCTGATTTGCTGTAGCTCTTAAGGCTGCGTTTACACGGCAACGAAAACGATGCAATCTGTACAGTTTTGTGCCTGTTTTATGCTTCTGTTTACACAGAAACGAATGAAAATGTGATACAATCTTAATAGAACTCTATGAAAACGAAAACGGTGTTCAAAGTGGATACTTTTAAAACGATGCATTTTGCGTTGCTGTGTAAATGTAGCCAGAATCTTGATAGGACTTCATGAAAACGAAAACGGTGTTCAGAGTGCGGTATCGTTTTTAAAATGATACGTTTTTCGTTGCTGTGTAAACGCAGCCTTAATTGTCCTCTAGACTTAGCTTCATGTATACAACCAACTTGCGCTTGATTGGGAGAAAGCTTTACTGTAAGGAGCCGAATTTTCAGGGTAGCATACTTATTAAGTTCTTTCAATAAATCTGTTACTGGTACAGTGTCTTGAGATGTAAACAGTTTTTTTTTCAGAGCAACCTTCACACTGGTAGCCATTTTATTAAACGGGTGTGGTTTACCTTGTTCTAAAAATAGTAAGCTCATTAGGATATGCCGCAGGCTACAGTGATTTTAATTAAACGCGTGGGTGTTGCGCTCTCCTTTTTCTTTTATGGGCTCCTGACAATATTAATATCTTACGGTGATGGAGATCTCTTCCTTTTGTGTGGTAGCTAAAGAGAAAGAGTTATTGTTAATTAAAGATATACATACTGTATAAGTCTTACTTTTAAGGCCATTTAGGGACAGACAGTGTGACAGTGTCAAACCATAGATAGTCAAAGTCTCAAACCATAGATTATATACGCACCCGGATAAGAAACATTCCAACACTCCCACATAAATTCAATGGGAGTGACGTCACACGGTGAAACAATCAGAGTTACCGCTCTTTACAGTATAAATTAGGGGTGCGGGGATTATGCTGGAATAATTTTAGGAATAATAGGTTCCTTAAGAATACTAGCATAAATTAAGAATAAACGGTAGTGAACGGGAATAAAAATGGCTACTCCATGTGTTGTGACATCCCTTGTAAAAAATCCCAGCAAGATCTTATAAGATTTTTCATGATTTCACATGACAATACAAGAAAACGCAAGATAGAAATCTTGTAAAATCTTGTCACAGAAATTCTTACAAATTCTTGCTTTAAGATTTCATAAGATTTTAAGAAGCGGTCAGATCTCCCGAGATCTAACATGACTATAATTTTTGTAAGAATTTCAAAGATCTTATGAGTAAAGGAATATGTTAGAAAATGTAAGATCATGCCTAATTACAATCTTGAAATATCCCACATTGTGAACTTTGTAAGAACTAAGATGATCTTGTTAGCTCAAAATCTCATAAGATCTTACAAAATTTCATAAGTTTATGATCTTGACAAATCTGCCATGATCTTATGATACTGTAAGATCCCACATCACAGTATTTTCCTAATTAAAATCTTGAAATATCCCACATTGTGAACTTTGTAAAAACTAACATGATCTTGTTAGCTTAAAATCTCATAAGATCTTACAAAATCTCATAAGTTTATGATCTTGACAAATCTCCCATGATCTTATGATACTGTAAGATCACACATCACAGTATTTTGAGTCTTACAAGATCTTGAAAGATCTTACAAATCATGTGACGTCACAGGAAGTAGTTGACAACCCACGATAGCCTTAACAGTAATGGCAGCATATAAAGAAACTGAAGTTTTAATCACTTTCAATCTAAAAAATCAATGACGTTCACATTCACATTTCACAACATTTTACACATGTATTATGCATTCATGCAATGTAAGATCTTGCCTAGATCTTACTGTTGCATTAATTTTAAAAGAGCATTGTATGCTAAAATACCATGCAAGAACTTGAAGGAATCTTGATAACAAGATCTTCCACTATCTTACATGATCCTTGTTCCAAATTCAGGAAAGATCCTGTTAAGACTTAGTAAGAATCTTGAAAAGATCTTGCATTTGATCTTGCAAGAACTTGAAGGAATCTTGATAGCAAGATCTTCCACTATCTTACATGATCCTTGTTCCAAATTCAGGAAAGATCCTGTTAAGACTTAGTAAGAATCTTGAAAAGATCTTGCATTTGATCTTGCAAGAACTTGAAGGAATCTTGATAGCAAGATCTTCCACTATCTTACATGATCCTTGTTCCAAATTCAGGAAAGATCTTGCAAATTATTGTCAAGATTCTTGTCATGATCTTGTAAGAAAATTAACAAGATCTTGCTGGGAATTTTTACAAGGGATACTCCATGTGTTGAATAATGGAATTGAGTGGTGGAATTGCAATTCAGAAGGACTGCCAGCTTGGTCTTGTGTAGCCAAGAAAATCATGCTTTTACAGCCATCTAGTGGAAGCATAGAATGAGTGTTTTTGTTACTTAACTCAACATTTGGTGATCAACAAGGCACGTCTCTCTTCGACTATATACAAGCTTCTCTTATGTTACATGAATAATTTGAGAACAATAGCCATAAATACAGAAGAATAATTACAAAAAAATTAAGAATTTGGGAATAGAATAATAGGAAATTTTTTGGGAATAATCCCCTCAGGCCTAGTATAAATGGAGGAGTTTTGCTGATGATGAAACAGGCGAGAACTTGCTTTTGCTGCTGAATACCAACATTAATTTGGTATCATGAGAAAGAGAAAACCACACCGCTCCGCTTCTACTAGTACCAGAGATCCAGATATGGAGTATATACGGAAAGCTATGTGGCATATGGCATGTGTGCTTTTGATGAGGTTTTTCCACATTTATTGGAAGCTCGTTATTGTTATTCCAGTTTGGTTGTTTTCTTTCGATTCATCTTGTTATTCGGCATCGTTTTATATACAAAACTGGTTATAAAATGTCCAGTTTCTTGTTGTAAAAGGAATAAACTGTTCACTGGAGCACCATTTTGTTAAACACATCATAGTTTACTCACAACATGATCTTGTTTGGGAGGTTTTGTCCTTTCAGATTGATAGAGTATACCTAACTAGATAGTACTGTATGGGTCTTGTGGCAGGAGAATGTTTTGTTATTTTTTACAATTTTATAAATTTGATGTTTTAAGTTACTAAGTTATTCTGTAACTTTTGTTTTTTGCTTTAATTTTACTTAAAAGAAGTACTTAATACATTAATAAGACATGTGTGCTTCCCTTGAAGTAATGTAATTGAATCAATTTTACTTTACAAACATTTTTACATGTTATA